TTATACATGGGTTATAGAGGGTACATGCCAAAAGCTATCCTTACACAAGGCCTACACGTTTGGTTTGTCCATTTGGGGTATGTCAGTTGGCCCTTAGATTGTTGCCCTCTGGTGGCAATGTACAGTGACATTTTCCACAGGCTGGAGCGCCAGCAGTGCCATCTTTCAGCTGAAAGGGCGCGGCTCAGCGCATGTGGCAAGTGGCAGGGCAGCGTCTCCTTGCGATGTTCAGAGGACACATTTAAAGGGTTCTAATCAACAGGCTCCGATCACTTGCGGCAAAGGACAATCAAGAGTGTAGCATCCGAAAGGAACCCATTCGTGAGAACCCAATTTAGGGTCTCCTTGCTGCGTTTGCGGCGTGTTGCTGGCTACACAGGACGCAGAGCCCGACAGAATTGTGGGGCGCGAGATTGCAAAGGCATGTTTAGCTCTTGTAGCCCAGGCGGCATTTGGCGCCTTGAAAACTGGCCCCCCAAAGAGTTTTTTTTCTTTCTTTTTTTGTTTCTCTCTCTCTCTACAAGCAACTGACAATTTCATCGGTACTGGCGCCCACCCAACAGCAAAAACAAGCCAGGCGGCCCATTCAATTGCCCCGTGCTTTTTCCGGAACCAAGCCTCTTTATAGATATATATTTCTTTAAGGACCGGCAAATGACCATACCTTGGGAACTAGTTGACTCGCTTTCCAGCAGCTTCAGCCAGGGCTTGAACGGGCGCCCTGCGATGCCGCCTCAGAGTGTCCGGCGAATTGCTTTGGTCGTCGGTTTCTTTGGGTTTGTTCGGAGCTGCGGCTGCTCTTTTGGTTTGTTGCCCAAGGGCAATTGTCTTGGGCGCATGTCCGATCCTTTCAGACGGTTCTCAGGCAGGCCCCTGGAAACCGCGGCAAGGCTGTGAAGGCAGGGGCCGTTTGGGAAGGAGGGTTGTTCTAATTGGGACGAAATCATGAACGCTCGGGTATCCCAGCCGTGCTTGTCACTTGTTGTGCCCAAGCATATCAAGCACATCTCGGGACGGCTCACGCGCGTGGAGTGCCCGCATTTGCTTGCGTTCTTCTTGGATGTTCGGTTGACTTCTTGAAACGTGCAAGCCGAACACATGGCGAATTTCACATTTGTTCATATGGCTGGACGAATTCCTGCACCACCTAAGAAACCCTTGAATGATGATTTCACCGTAAATACCGACACACAATAGTTTTTTTTTTTTTCTCCATGCTTTCAACGTGGTGCGAAATGGATTTTGTCCATCCACATGTTTTATTCTTTTAATAACAACAAGACACAACCTAAAAAACAACATTTTTGTCACGTTGCCATCACCTCCGATCTGCGGCCAGGAGCGCGACATCCGCTCCTTGGACCTGCCGCGGGTCTCCGAAAACATCCGGGCCCGGGCGTTTTGGGGGGAATTTGGGGGATTTAGAGGGAAGAAACCGCCGATTTTGCGGGACTATTTGAGAGAAACCCACATGTCAAGGATGGGACTGTAGGTTTGTGGCGCTCGAGAAAGGTTCCAAGAGGTTAGCGCTTTGTGTCCAGGTCCTTCATTGGAGACCTAAGTTTTCTGTTGTTGTTTGCTTTCTCCGGGCTGGCTGTTTAGCTTTTGTGGCTCTTTACACGTTTTGTGGCTTTTGGTGGTTTTTCGACCCTAAACCCACTCGACCCTAAAGCAGCGCTGAACCTACCCAACAATTACATGAAAAGAGCGCCAAAACTGCAGTAAACCAGCGCCCTTTAGCCCTTTAGCAACCTTAACCCTACCCTAAAGCAACCCTAAACCAAACCCAATCTCCCCGCCCACTGAACCCAGCCGCAATCAACCCAAGGCAAACCCTAAGCAAACCCTGTAGCAACCCTACACCCGCCCTAAACCAACCCTAAACCCCTAATCCAGCGCTGAACCAGCACTAGTCCATCCCCATACCCTAAACAAAACCTAAACCCAGCCTAACCCAATCCTAAACCCACCCAAAACCAGCATGAAACCAAGCCCAAACCTTCCCTATACAAACTCTAAGCCAATGGAGATACGGTGGGGTGAAACAGGTGCATTTTCTTAGAGCATACAGTAGAGGAATGTGGTGAGAACAGGAAGCCTAGTGATTCGGGCAGCTTTCCCCTTGCGGTCCAAAAAATCGTGGCCTTTGGGCGCAAAATCGGATGGATGCCAGGTCTGCGTGCGGATTCGGCCTCTCACCTCCGAAGAGGCCATGTTTGGATGGCGGAGCCGCCAAGGGAAGGGGCGGATGTCTCTCTGAAATTGCATTGGACTCCTCTGACGGGTGGCCAGTCATTCTTCCTTCCTTGCAGGAGTTGCGGCTAGATGCTCCGAAGCAGATGTTTTCGCCTAAAGCAAATACACTTTTTGGGCGGAGTTGGCTTGAAACCGCGCCAGGCCAACAGCGGCGAGCTGCCCAGCATCGTACCGGGCCCTCAGGCCGGGGCGTGGCGGGGGTGCTGTGGCTGTTTGGGAGCATGGAGTCGAGTGGGCGGGGGACTTCTTGACTCCCACGAGATCTTGTGCAATTTGCCCAGTTCGTTTGGATCGTGTCAAGGTCGTTCAGCTTGGCCTCGCAATCTCTCAGTGTTTCAGGGATGGGACGGGATATGACATGGAAAGAGGTGGCTTTCGCATGTGGCCATGCCAGCGTTTTTTCCTCAATCTTCGGGCCAACGCATCTTCGCGTTTTGGTCTCTGTTGTGGTTTCTTGGTGGCTCCCAGCCATCCCCTTAGCTTTTTAGCCTTTTAGCGTTTTAGCCTTTTAGCCTTTGCGTGTTTAGTGGCAGTTTCCATTTGGCCCACAAGTTCTCAACTTTGAGCGGGGGATCAGATTTTCGGGCAAGCAGCCCAGGTTCGGGTTTTGGCCTCGTTTCCGTTTCGTTGGTTTCAGCTCCGAGGGCAGCGGCCTGCTGAAGCTGCTGCTGCTGGACTCCCTGTCCACCTCCAGGCTCTCGAAGCGGCCGCTTTCTTTCAAAGGGCAGCCAGGTTTTGGAGGTTTCTTTGAAAGGAAGTGCCAAAAGGGAAGTCTTTGGGTGGTTGCTTCCTTTTGGTTTCCTGAAGTAGCAACCAAAAGAGGGTTCCAAAGAAAGACACGCCGCCAGGCTTAGGCGAGGTTCGCACGGTTTGAGTGACGCTTACTTTTGGTGGTTTCAAGCTGAAGCGAGCTTCCTTTTGTCGGGCTGATGCGGAAAAGGGAAACAGAGGTGACCCTGGTCCGTGGTCCACTTGAGGTGCGGAACAAGAATGGGGACAAGCCTCTAAGTTTCAGCCACAAAACACTGGACAGAACACTCATTTTCTCGTGTCCATGCGAGAACAGCAAGCTTTGTCCATGGATCGCGTCACGTCTTCCATGGTCTTCAAGGGACATGGTCATGACTGATGAGCATCGTTTTGGTCGCTGAAGAAAATGCAGCAACAAGAGTACGTTTGCGTTATTTTGTTGCCCCTTGAACCCAGGGGTAACTTGTGGTTTTTAGGTCAACATTGGTAGCCAAAACAGCTTTCGATGATTGAATCCAGTTTCGTCTTGGCGGCCGGGTCTTGTCACGATGCGGTCGCTAACTTTTGACTTTGGCTAACCTGGCGAAGTTCGCTTTGGGGTATCCCCTCATGAAAATCTGTTGATATGGCAGGTGCTCCGAGTACCATACCAGGAAACCTCCGTTTGGCCACAAAGAACTGAACCCAGCAGCATTCATGGCTACAACTCGATGCTTTCCGCAGGCGGACGGATGAGCGGAAGCTCGTGGCTCCAAGGCGGCTGGGTTGTTGGCAGGTGGGACATGTGAAGGTCTGACATTATCTTTGGTTTCCCTGGAGCAAATCCCAAGAGAGGTCAGCACTTTGAGAGACCACCATGTTTTGGGATGCCCGGCGGTTGGTCCAGTGTGATCGAGCCCGGGCGAACCGCAGCCTGTGAAGAGCGCCCGAGTTGGCAGTGTCAAAGGGGGAGAATACTGGCAAAGGTGCCGTCCAGATTTTTTCGCCCCGTTTGTTTGGAACCAAAGGAAGCGCGTGAGTTTGTCCGCCTTACAAGGGGACCTTCAAACTGGCGTCACTGTTTTGACTGCTGGGGGTTGTCAGAGTCAGAAGCCGCGGTTGTTGAACAAACCACGAGAGTGTCATTGATCCAGTCAAAAGTCAAAAGTCAGATTTGATGGCCAAAGAATGGGCAACTACAACTTGGATAATTTCTGGGGGGGGTGGTTTTCTTTCTTCTTCTGTTTTTTCCAGCTTTGCTCTCAAACACCCACGTCCGAGGGCGCTTCCTTGTGGCCAAAACACACGCCCACCGCCTGCCAGCAAGCTGCCACAGGAGCTGGCCCAAGGCCTGGGAGTTTGCCCGAAGCCCGGTGGGTTTCGAGACGCAGTGGCTCAGGCTACGTTTGAGCTGACGTGTTTTTTTTTGGGTCAACGCTGCACGAAACGTATATATATATATATATATGTGCACAGTCCGGAGTTGAGTCCAAACATTGCTATCATTTGTTTTTTGTCATGACAGCCACCCCACAGGTTGGTCTTGGGCCACATACTTTTCATCTCCAGAATATGCAGGGTCTGGCAAGGATCGCCTAGCGGTGTGGCCATTGTCAATTGGGGCATCCCTACTTTTTGGTTCCTTCGTATTTTCCTGCTGGCTTGTCTCTTCAAGCCGCCGTTGCGAACATCCAGTGGGTCGCAGGGCGAATGCCATCCAGACATTTAGCGCTTTGGATTGAGGGGCTTTGCTGGCCTTGCCGCAGCTTGGATGGCTGATGGCTCATGCCATCTTTTCTGCCTCGGCACATCTTCGCAAAGGTTTGCCTGGAAATGTTTGTGCTTGGCTCGTCAGGTTGCAACTGCTAGAAGCAACTCACAACGGCGTATCTTTGCAAAGGCGAACAACAAGAACGCATGGCCTCTGCCGTGTCCCACGCAAAATCTGAGGACTTTGTGATCTCCGGAAAAGGATCCCAGGCGCGGGTTTTGTGATGTGGGGGTCACGGAGTTGCGGGGCAGAGTCCCAGCTTTTGTGGTTGAAAAAGTCGCAATCAAAACCAGGTAAAAAAGGTGTCCAGACAAAGTGACATGGTTTCCAGAAGTCCCGGCCAGACCGCAGGCCGGGGTGTACAACCTCTTGGGGCAGCATTTGGTGCAGAACTCCGTGGAAGGCCGGAGCATGGCAGCGCTTGTCATCTGTTTCAGAATTGGGGGACCCCACCTGGGTTCTTTCCATGTGGATCCCCTAGTTTCTTTTGGGTTGCTTTCAACCATAAAGCGTACCCAGACCAAAACGAACACATGGGTGTGCCTTTTTTCCTGATCTTCCTTCAAACCACCAAAAACGGGACCCCTCTTTTCGACCCACATGTGCTCCTGAGTTACCGTGTTTGCTCAAGATCAGGCTTGAACGGCTGCGTGATCGCGTGCGGCCCCTCCGGCAGCGGAAAGAGCCACACCATCTTTGGAGGGCGCCAACAGGATGGGCTCGAATCAGAATGGTGAGGTTCGCCACCACTTTCCTCTCAGCGTCTTTCGCCAATCTGGCATTCAGTTGGAAACTTGTTGGTTCGATAGGCAGGGAATGAGAAATGGAATGACCTCGATTTTTTTTAACCATCCCCTATGGTTTCCTTTGAGGGAATCTCCAGGTTCATTCCCAACACTGTGGTCATATACTCAGCACCAGCAAGGAAAGGGTCAACCCAATGGCAGGACTTTACATTGGGGAAGATTCTGAGCTTGCAGATGGCTCCAAGGGCTTGAAACTCCTTTGGCCACTTGATCTTCTAAACAAACCTCCACGCTCTTTGCGCGTTGGAATAATTGGGCCTCGTATCTCGTCGAAATCCTCGTAGCTCGCGGTGACTTGAGTCGCGTCTTCCGGTTGCTCGAGGAGCAGCAGGGCCTGGTGCCGCGCCTCGCAGAGGGCATCTTTCGGGTGCTCCGTGCCCGGGGGGAGGCGCAGATGGAGGGCGCTCGAGAGCTTTCTGAGAGGTTTCAGTTTTTGGAGTCTTGAGAGCTGTTTGGTGTGAGGCTTTCTTCATTTGTTTGACGGTTTTGGGTTTTGAAGGTAGTGGTTGAGAGGGTTTTGTGGTTCATGGCAAGCCTTGCAGGTCCCTGCCCTTGAACATTTGTTGGTGCTTCCAGCAATTTTTTACCCGCAACTTTCGGCAACTTGGCGCCGCAACCCGTCACATGTCCTAAGGGACATGTTCTGTATTTTGACAATTGGGACTTGACAGTTGCGGCCAAAGGGTCTCGGGTGTTTTGGGCAAAGAACCTGCTTTTGACAAGCTTCAGCCATCAAAAGGCTTTGTAGTCTTTGAAACACGGCCCATAGAATCGTTTTTCTCGTTTCGTTTGCGAGAAGCACATCGTGAAGTTCGCGTACCTTGAGCTCTACAACGAGTCCAGCCCTCAGCACCTGTTTCGTTGGCATACCCAGCCTCGGAAGCGCATGGAACCAACTCCGCCTATCTGGGCAAAGGGCAAAGACCCCAAGCCAGCTGAGGATTCCACATGTTGGCGCCTTTTTTTGTGGTTTCTTGGTGGTTTCTTGGGGTGGGGTGGGGTGGGGCCCAGGCGGCTCCAGGATCTCTTGCGGCCGCCGGACTCGCCCTTCGAAACCCTTCGGACCAACCCGGTGCTCGAGGCGGGGCCAAGTGGCTCAATTCGTCGCGGAAGGCTTTCTGGCTGTTTGCTGCTCTTTGGGGCATCGGCAGCACTTGGACTTGGAAACCGGTCGGATTTGTTCCATGCCCACAAAAAGGCCGGTTTCTTTCTTTTGCAGAGGCGTCGGCAGCAAGCAAGAAGGGATGGGTCACTTTGAAAGACCCGCAGCCCCCCGCCTCCAACGATCCGCCAAACGAGTTGAGGCCAAAGTGTTTGAAGCTCGAGATGCACAATGCGTCCGGCCAGGGATTGTAAGGCTTCTGTTGTCAACCCGAAATGTGAGGCGGCCCAAAATTGTCACAGGGCCTCCCTCTGGGCTGGGCCTCTGCATCTGGAGGTGCGGCAACACCCGCGCGTGGGTGTCTTCGTTGGCAGTCGCAGCCTTAGACGTCTGGTCCACAAACCCTGGCATGGATATGAGCTGGACTCCCATTGCTTTCTCGTTGTCTTCCTTCTAAACGGCGAATCAACCAGTTGAGGGGAGGCTTTGCCCTGTGACTCGCTCAATGCAAGCTTGAGAAGTGTCTGTCTCTCTTCAACTAGTTCTTAGTAGAAGAAGACTGGGCAAATAAATGCTTGATTGCCTGCTGCCTTTTCTCCAACATCTATCAGTTCCCCCCACAAATCTAGGCATTCCTTCCCTCGCGCCTCTGCGCTCAGCTTCAAGGGTCCGCGGGTCGGCCCCGTCCCCCGCGTCTCCGCCATGGCTCTCGCCTTTGCGGCGACCCCAGCACTTCGAGCTCCCACCGCGGTGTCTCACAGAGCCGGCGAAGCCCGCCGGGCAAGAGGCCAAGACCTGGCCATGAAGGCCGCAAGCTCGTTCCTTTTCTGTCCCAAAATGGAGGGACGTAGGGGGAAAACAACCGGACACCCTGTATTTGTTCAGAGAGCAAGCACTCATTGGCCCCTCCTTGGCCAGTTTGAAAGGCTTTTACAATGGGAAACATGTATAGAACCACTTCTTGGAGAGGTCCGATACCTACTTTTTTAAGTTGGTCCTCAATCCATCAATTTGCAGATTGTTGGGGGATTGTTCCACCAAAAGTCAAGGGATCTCTCCATCAATCAGCCAGGAGTTTGTTGATCAACTGGGTTCCACTACTGTACAACTGGGTGGCTTCAGGCAAGGCTTTCATGATTTGTGGCTTCATCACGAGAAGCTATGGGTGTTTTTAAGAAGTAGGCGACCCTAGAAGGCGAGCCAGCAGGAAACAACACAAAAACACGCCGCTTTTTGCCTTGGGGGTCTTTCAACTTGACGCCTTTGAACTCCACGGCGGTTTTCTCGCAGGCCATGACGGGCGGCCTGGCGTTGGCGGCGCTGCGCCGCTTCCGGCCGAGCCGCGGCTATCGGCTGGCGGGGGCGAACCCCAATGCCCAGCGGCCGCTGGGGCTGCATAGGGCGGCCGCGGTGTTGGCGAAGCCCAAGGAGACGACTTTGGGATTGTGTGTTGTGTGTGTGTGTGTTTGTAATTGTTTGTTATTGTTTGTTATTGTTTGTTATTGTTTGTTATTGTTGTTTTCGTTGTTATCATTATGATTGTTGCTAGTGTGATTTATTATTATGATTCGTTTTCTTATGCTTGCTATTATTGTTATGATGCTTCCTTTTACATGTCTTTCGGCCTATTCCCGGTTTGGTCCAAAACGTACAGTGGAGACTCACCCATGTTTGGAGTGCTATTTTGACAGAGCCCCAGTTGAGAAACTGTGACATGGGGAGCGTGTCAACCTGGAGAGCCCTGGATAGGTTTCCCACTGAGAACCGTTCAAGAAAGGACACCGAGCCTTGACGAAAGACACACACCGGAAATTGAGGGAGCGGGTGAAGACCACCCGGTTGCTAAGCAGGAAACCAAAGTCCCACAACCTCTGGGAAACACACCAGGTTGGTTTTCCCTTGAAGAATAACATCAGGATGGGGTCTTCCTTAATTTATCCGAAGGGGGACCCCTGTTTAGATGGTGCCGGCAGGCGGCAATCGAGGAAAGCAAGCTTTTCTTGTGGTCCCATCAGGACCACAGGGATCCCACAGGTCTGATGAGCTGAACAGTTTTTTTTCAGTTTTTTGGGGGTTGAGCGGGACCAGGGGATCTGGTTTGGAAACTGCGAACTTGTGTGACGTTTGTCTAAATGTCCATCAGAGCCTTTTCCCACATCAGCCGGAAAACGGTCCGTGATCATGGCACTTCAGGAGGAACCCCAAAACTGCTCGGTGTCCGCCCGACTTCCCTAAAAGAACCCTCAAAAACACTCATGGCCTCAAGAAAATCAGACGCCAGGAGCTACTGGGCGTTGAGGCGGACGAGAAGTACAACGTGCCCGTCGGGGTGGCCGAGAAGCTTGGGAAGAACCTGCTGCTGAACGAGAGCCACCCCCTGGGCATCTTGTGGACGACGGCGGGGGGTCGTTGGGTCCTTGGGCTCGGCTGGGGCTTGTTTGGTGTGGCAAGGCAGTTTTTATCGGTGGCCAAGCAACTCGGGAAGTGCATTCTGGCTTTTGGCAGCGCCTCCATGAATCTGTGATGGCTTAAAGGCGGCAATGGGACGTTGTGAACAGCTTGTTCCTTGGACACACACACACACACACATATACAATGAAGGTGGCGGTGAAACTCTGCACTCCACATCACTTGCCAGATGTTTTGGATGCCGCAACCTGCATGACCAAGAAGCCGCAAGAAACAGTCCTCCGATCGCGACACGAATGTGATGACGCTGCACTGCCAAGAGCCTCCAGGGTTTTCCCCTTGAGGTGCAGGAGCACTTTGCCGAGCAGGATCCGGACTGTAAGTTCTTCGACCAGGAGAAGCCGACGGGCCAACAGCCCGGGTGTTTCAACTAAAACCGCGGACCTCCCCGCCTTGCGTGCTTCCGTGGTTTCCCTTCAACCATCCCAACAAGCGGGCCAATCTCCAATTTTTGGAAAAGCACCCACACTGGTCCCCCTAATTTTGCACCGATGCTGAAAGACGCAGCATGAAACTAACCACAGTGTCGGGGATTTTGACGCGTGCGCAATGTTCTTCGATTCTCATGGCACCCACCAAGGTGCCCTGAAACAGAACTATCTTTTTCCAGCTCCATGCAGGAGTGTAATAATGTTCGGAATTGAAGTCCTAGATTGGTTTGCTTGAATGGACGGTACCAGCTGGTTCCAGTCGATTAGATGGCACTGGCTGGTTCTAGATTCTAGTCGATTTTTCCACACGTTCCGGTTGCCCTTTGGAGTCCCTTTTTGTTTCCGAAGTGGGTAGTTCCCTTTCAAAAAGTGCACCCTCCAAAAGACATATCCCCTTTCCAACCAGCATAGAGCAACTATCATTGAAGACTATCCTTTTGAAGAGGCCCCTTGCCCACTTCGTTGGAAGTTAACATGTTTGTCTATATATTGAGGTATTCTGTATGCTGAAAACGGGAAGCCAAAGGAAACTCACTCATTTGGGGAGTTGACAAGGGAAGCCATTTGGGTTTGAGGAGAAGCCGGTGGTGAACACTGTGGACTGCTTCGACAAGCTCCGCGTGCCGCCGGACCACGTGTCGCGGTCCCCGTCGGACACGTACTATGTCAACGCGGACTACGTCTTGAGGACCCCGGGTTGGGGCTACTCTTTTTGTTGGGGTAAGGGTATTGCAGTTGGCTGGGGTGGGGGCCAGGGCGTTTTGTGCTTGGGGCGCCCTGACCAAATGGTTTCAGCAAGCAAAGCTGTTTTTTTTGGCCGCTGAATCTTGAGCTGCCAACCAAGTCAGGCTCGGAGTTTTGTGTGACTTGCGACTCCCGGGTTGAATTTGCTGGGTTTCAGCTGCAAGTCCCAGGCTTCCCCGAGTCACCACATACAATTGCGAGGCGGTGTGAATGACGGACTCCATCTTGGCTGCTGTCTCAAGGGAAACCAAAAGCACACCATCTTCTTGGACCTCTGCTTGTACACAAATACCAAGAGGTTGCGATTTTGTTTCAAGACTGGAAGAAACAAACACCGTTTGGAGACGGAAGCCGTCCAGACCCAGTGGACAAGTTCTGCTCGATCTGCCAAGGACGCACACATCGGCACATCAGTGTCAGTTCCTGAGCCAGTACCCGAAGATCACGTCCTTCCTCTGTGCCGGCGATGTGTACCGCAGGCGGGCAACAAAATAGGCATCGGTCGGGCACCAAACTACAGGGGGTCTCCGATATGTTCCCCCTGTTTGTTGGCTTCTAAACATCAACTTTTTGACCATGAAAGATGATGTGCGCCTTTTTGGAGCCAAACCCCAGCACTCTTCACCCTCTTGGGATGACTTCCGAAGTTGCTTCATAAGTGTGCCGTCCACGGTTGGTGGGAAAATCAGAAGCGAACCATATGCAGGCAGCGGGCCCAACCCCTGAGAAGTGGTTGAGCTACCGCTTCCTCTCGTGTTTTTTCTCAGCACCGGCCAAAAAGTGGTCCTTCCCAATTTGCGGACATACCCCCGGTACAGGTTTTAGTTTTTGTTTTTGGAGGGTGCCCAATTTTGGGGTTGGTTTGCATGGAAGCGATGGGAACCACCCATTTGGTGCTTAATCGCAAGGGACGAGATCGATGCCTCCCACTACCCGGCCTTCCACCAGTGTGAGGGCGTGCGCTTGTTCGATGCCACGAAGGTGTCGAGAGACGAGGTCATGGAAGACCTGAAGAAGACGTCGCTTGTTGACCAACGGGTTGCTGACCGGATGAGTTCACCGGGAAAACCAGGGTGGTTTTCAAGGGATTGAGCTCGGAGGTTACCAAGGAGACTCCTGATTTCTGGTTGATAGAAACCATCCATTGGAACATGACCCATTCCGCACCTTGCAAAAAGTTCAACATGTGCCCGGTGGAACTCAAAGGAGTTGCCCTGAACATTGCGCAATGCCCGCTTTCGCTTGGGCCCTGAGGGCCAGGAGACCATCCCCACCGAAATGGGCGTATGGAATCGGCCTTTGAACATGGCCCTCACGGAGGTGGGAACAGGAAGTTGGGTGAAGGTTTAATTTAAAGTCCACAGGGCCAAGGCCAGGAAGGCGCATCAGAGGGTGGGAAACTAGATTGTGAGGCTCGTTGCATGAGGACAGTATACAGGTCAAAAGTCAAGACCAGTCCAACCTAAGTTGTAGCCACCTCGAAATGCAGTGGCCTGATGTAAGGCTCAAGTGAATCTCCGTCGCTGCAAGCCACCGCGCATTTTACCGGGGGACACGGGTGAAGCACAGAAGCGACCTGGGGAGAACAGGTGGCAGGCACAACAAAAATATATATTATGTATCTCTATATATATATAACCAAAAAAATATGATGATGCTTTTCTGATAAGTACTCTATCCGTTTTAAATGGAGTTGGACTTTCGATGACATGAAATTAAGGGCTAGGAAAAGGCTCATTTCGGTTTCCAGCGGTTTTGCTTGAACAAACCACCGCGCACCAACGGGTGCGCTTCAGGCCCCTTTTCAGGGTTTCAAATGGAAGTCCGTTAAGGTACGCAAGATCTTCAGGTCGGAAAGCCCAGAACTTGAGAAATCTATGGCCGATTCCATCGGACTCAAGGAGAATCAAGGCTATGGATAAGGCAAAGTGATAGCCCAGGTTGGAGGGCTTGGCTGCTCACCTCTTCCAGCTGAAGACCGGAGAGGACTGTCTCTCTACTGCTTCTCTTAGATGAGTATATGGTTTTGTGTTGAAACATCAGAAGGCTGCTTAAGTGGCTGTAAGCCTGCAGTTTAAGGGGATCGGCCTGGGAATGTATCAAAACCAAGGACCCACATGGACCCAAAAGGGGGTCTCTAGCTTTGTCACACAAAAAGGACGGTAATCCACAAGCTTCCCATGTAGCAGCAT